AGAGAGAGAGAGAGAGAGAGAGAGAGAGAGAGGGAGGGAAGAAGAGGAAGATAGAAAGGGAGGACTCTGAAGAACAAAAGGAAACATGTATGGAGACCAAAGTATCAAATCATACTTTAGCCTCATTCTAGACCCAGAACCATCCCATCAGGGCAATTGATTAAGATGAAATGTTGTAGCACTCATTAGCTGGCCCTGAATGTATATCAATCAATCAAAAATCAATCATTGTTGTGTGTTGGTTTTAACTTACTCTATCAATGCAAGCAGCTTGATCAAAGACATATAAATCAATTGTGATTGGTGGAATTTATCAATGGTTAGTGAAGACATTTGGCAAAATCTTGTTTCTTTTTCTAAGCTCTGTAGGTGTGAGTTTTACATTTTACTCTTTTGACCAAAGAAAAATAATCAGAAACACATATAAACAGGCATATAGGGCCATGTTGAAGATGTTCATTTCTTGATTTAGGCAGATGAGAACTCAAGTATATTTCTCTGTTAAAACTAGATTTTAAACTTAGGACTTGAACAGTTTTCTGAGTAACATTATACTAAGATGAGAACAAAGTTTGAAAGAGTCCTGGAGGGAGACTGTTTGAGGGGATAGTGAACATGAATAAGATTTTTAAAAGCATTATAGATAGGCACAAAATATTCAAAGAATAACTAAAAATATTATTGAAAACAAATATTTTTAAGAAGAAAAGAAAAGGTTTAAAGAGTAGAGTTGATATCCACTACAGTGTGTTTGGTGTGGTTTTTATTCAGAAGTGAGGAAATTGACAGACTAATTTGTATTCTGACTGAAGCCCAAAATACAGTCTTTCCAATGAAATGAGTTAATTCAATGAAAGTATGCTCTGACCCATGGAGTTTTGCATCCTGTGGGCCTCTGAAAATGATTTTCTTTAGCTTTGTCAAATCAGTAAATTAGTAGATGAATTGGACATTTTTATCACTTTGATAGTGACTGATTATTTTCTAATTTGTCCTGAGACTTTGACATATTCTTGAAAATAATTTTTAGGTAGGTGCAAAGGGATATAAGTGCAACAAAATCACAAGCACAATTATGCACACACGACACACACATAAAAGTACTACACACAGCTTCTTGGTAACTGCACTTTTTTCAGATAGGTTCTGTTTGATCACAGCAAGCAGGGTCACTGCTGTTCCTTTAAGAGAGGTCTTCCTGATTTAGTATTAGAGGCAAAAAACTATCAGGTTTTGAAACCGAAGCTTATTGGTTTGTGCTACTTGCACAAACACCTCTG